TCGTTGTTTGTTTAGGGTTCGGAATGGCGAGTTCGGCGTCCTCTGCAGTTACTGTGTCTATGCGGGCCCGTTGGTGTGGGGGTGTTTGTTGTCTAGATTCACCCGCCCCTGTGGGTCGTTCGGTTGGCCTGAATGTGCTGTGCTTTTTGGCCCGGGTGCATCTGCCGTGTTTTCTGCTGGGGCGCTTTTCTTTGTCACGGCGCGGTAGGGGCGATGCTCTCGGGCGAGGTTCGGCGTCGTCTGCGGTTAGTGTTCCGGTGCGGGCCCGTTGATGTGGCGGAGTTCTTTGTCCCGATTCGGCCGGCCCTGGATGTGGTCTCGATATGAGGCGCCATGCTCTTGGGTTCGGCCTCGTCTGCGGTTTGCGTATTGTTCGGATGCGGGGCCGTTCGTGTGTTGGGGAGGTGGGAGGGCGGGGGGGTTGGGGGTTCTCTGTCTACATTCGGCCTCCATCTGGTCACGTTTCAGGCCCGCATTGATTGTTTGTTTAGGGTTTGGAATGGCGAGTTCGGCGTCCTCTGCGATTTGTGTTTCGATGCGGGCCCATTGGTGTGGGGGTGTTTGTTGTCTAGATTCAGCCGCCCCTGTGGGTCGTTCGGTTCGCCTGCATGTGCTGTGCTTTTGGAATGGCGAGTTCGGCCGGGGGGTTGGGGGTTCTTTGTCTACATTCGGCCTGCATCTGGTCAGGTTTCAGGCCCGCATTCGTTGTTTGTTTAGGGTTCGGAATGGCGAGTTCGGCGTCCTCTGCGATTTGTGTTTCAATGCGGGCCCGTTGGTGTGGGGGTGTTTGTTGTCTAGATTCAGCTGGCCCTGTGGGTCGTTTGGTTCGCCTGCATGTGCTGTGCTTTTGGGGCCGGGTGCATCTGACGTATTTTCTGCTGGCCCACTTTCCTTTGTCATGGGCCCGGATCTGCCGTCGGTCGTGGTGGGATCCCTGGGAAAAAAAAAAGTCGCAAAAGTTCACAGGTGGTCCTGCGGTCTTACCTGGTCGTCTTCCTGGGGAAGGTGCGTAGTCTTGCGGTGTTGCAGGTGCATGCATTTCGGCCCGGGTGCATCTGTCGTCGGCCGGTTTTACGTGGTCGTCTTGGTGGGGAAGATGCGCAGTCTATTGGCGTTGCAGGTGCATGCATTTCCCGACTGGCTGGGGCATGTGTGTTCTTGGGAGGAGGGGGGGGGGGGACGCGTGTCTGGGTAGCTTTTTCAATTGATGTGGTCAGGATATGAGGCCAGATGCTCTTTTGGGCCCGGTGCATCTGATGCGTTTTCTGCTGCGCCCGCTTTCCTTTGTTCTGACGCTGTGTCTGTCCTCGCTCGAGCGTGGATACCTGGGGGAAAAAAAAAGTCGCAAAGGTTGACGGGTGGTCCGCCTGTTTTACCTGGTCGCTTTCCTGGTGAAGTTGTGTCTTCGTTGCCATGGTTGACATCCGTGCCGGTGCCGGGTTACTGTCCTCTTCGTTGGTTGGCCTCGTATCGAATTCCGGATGATTGAAGTTTGCGGTGCCTGCGGTGACTGTCGCGTAAGAAATGTGATGATGACCTTAAAAAAAAATGCCGGGCCCGACGTTAAATAACCCGGCCCAATCGTTGCTTTCGTTTTGGCTGGATTTAGTCTGGTTTTCGGCGCGGGTGCATCTGACGTGTTTTCTGGTGGGCCACTTTTTCTTCGTCCTGGCGTGCTGTCTGCTCCGGGTTGGGCGTCAGGAGCTTGGGGAAAAAATTGCTTGCAGGGGTGCTCGGGATGCTTTACCTGCTCGCGTTCCTGCAGAAGGTTTGCACCATGTGGTTTCGGCTCCACTGCCACTTGGACTCACTAAACTGTCCTGGATATCCACCTGCGTTTTCGCCAAACTAGGAATGCAACTTCCGTCTCCTCAACCAGAGCTCCCGCACTTCACCTCTCCCACTATTCCCAGTTGCGAAACCAGTGTGCCTGCCGTCAACAAACGAGCCATCCTCGGCTGACTCTATGGGTTGCTTTTTGTTGGGACTCGTCGGTCAGAAATCTTTTGCGCTTCTTCTACTCACGTTGACTTCTGTGTCTGTCATCTTTTCAAAACTTTCGTACTTCCTTGTGCCGTCCTGGACTTTTGTAACGACACATACGGTGTGTTTTCACCTTATTGTGAGTGCTTTTCGTTTGATATGAGGACTGTTTCACATCTCCATTTGCTCCGTGTCATGTCCATCTCATGTGTTTCGTTTGTTGTGAACTCTGTTTGACATCTTGGTTTGCACCATGTCCTTTCGCCTCCAGTGCCACTTGGACTCACTAAACTGTCCTGGATATCCACCTGCATTTTCGCGAACCTAGCAATAGAACTTCCGTCTCCTTAACCACCCCTCCGCACTTTCACTTCTCCCACTATTCTCACTTGCAAAACCACTGTGTCTGCCCTCAACAACCGAACCATTGGTTCTACCTCGGCTGACTCCAGCCATAGACCTCACTGTGTCTGCCTCCACTATACAACGAATGGCTTCTATAAAGGGAAAGAGAGCGAACACATTGTGAATACCTCCCTTCTCCGATCCAATTCGATACAAACACTTTTCTGAGTACTGCATTCCTCCTATGTGTTTGTTAACTTCATTTTTCGATCACATTGCTAAACCTCCTTCTCGCCCTTCAATTGTTACAAACCGTCATGCCCGCCATGTAAGCCTCAACAAGCGTCCATACAACTTCCTCTCGTGCTCGGAAGGCTTTCACCTTCCACAAATTCGCATGTTTCTTTCCCCCTTGCAAAAAAAAAAAGTTCCTGTATCTATGACAAAGGTCCTTCGTGTTCCTGGACTGTTTTACGATTCATTCTATTCCCATTTCTTTTCCCTCGCCACTGCATTCCATGCACCTCTTTCCCGCCGCTCTTCTCTAATATTCGAAACATATTCCTGTCATGAAATATATTCCTGTTGCTATACCGTAACCCTTTGACCCGACGGCAGACCAATCACTCTGACAGTAAAAAATAGAAAATAGGTTTCCTGGTGTAACAACTTATCTGCCGATGACTCTAACGGGTCAAAATCTGGCTGCAATTCCGACAGGGTCAATTTTGAATGATGATGGTTCACCGCTGCTTCCCTTCATAATATTGGGCGGGGAAAAACAACAAAAACAAAACGCCCACACATTAGGGCATGAGCCGAGGCGTCACAGCATACTCAGCTGAAGCAGTTTCCTGGCCTTATCTGCCTTCTATTACAGACTACACTGCATCGATGTGACTCCGATTCCACTTCAAAGGTCCCCTGTCGACTTCCGTCAACACGTCTGCCCTGTTTTTTTTAGGCCCCGACTGGATGCTTCTGTCCGGATTTACGACTTGATTTTCTGCACACAACTCACGAAAAGGGCAGGTATGACCCTTTCTGCACACAACTCACGAAAAATGGGAAAATTCAGCTACAAGGACCGACGATGCACTGCCATATCTTTCTTCTTATGTGAATTTGGTGAGTACTGTGGTCAGGCCTGTGCCCCCCGGAAACAAATGAAAAAATACAGCCACTGGATCACCAGTCCCCGTCTTTCTCTTCGTAGCTCGTCATCCGTCTTGATTTTCACGCTGTGGCCACGTCTCACCTTATGCTACTGTCTACTCGACCCTCGGCGGGTCACGACCCTGTTCTGTAGGCGATGCTGCTCTGGAGTTCCAATTCAACTCGACAGTTCTGTGTGCGGTGTAACCTGCAAGACTCTATATTCTACATCTAACTCTACTCTACTCTGCAGCCTCTGCTCGACGCCCTCTACTCTACTCTCTATTTCTCTGTATTGTACTCTGTTCTGTATTCCACTGTACTCTCTGCTGGGTCTACTCTTCTCTCGCTGTACTGCAATCTCTAGGCTCACCTACTCTCTATTGTCAGCTGCTCTCAACTCTCATATCCACTGAATGAAATAACTTCGCCTGACCCTTTTGGCCGCGGGCGGAGCTGCGCTGGCTAATCTTGTTACTGCTTGTTGCTTATTGTTTTCCAGTTTTTGGTAGCCACAATATTGATCCTTACTACTTTGACAGAATCTTCATTATTCCTTGCCCAAGTCTGATCGCCCTTGGGCTTTCTTAACCCGGTTAGCAAACTTTGTTTGGGTCATTTTCTACTATGAATGCGAAGTACTCCATCCTGGTGCCGAAGTTTTTTATTGTTTTTTGGCATCCTTGGCTAATCAGTCATTTAACGCCTTTGCCAGTTGTGATGCCTGTGTTTGCATCTCAGCGCTGTCGTTGATGACCTATTTGGGTAATTTGTAACTTGACTAGCCTCCCTGTTGTGGGTATTGATTATGGCAGATGCTTCTCCCTTTGAAACTGGATGCTGATTCAAATGATGCGCATCTTGCACTTGTGCTGGAGACATCAAAATCCAGGAGGGGGTATGTATGGCGGAACTGGACGGTCTGAAGTTGCCTGTTTCTAATGTTTCTGTCACATTCCTTACTAGACGTGACAATCCATGGTGGTCATAATACTGCATTCGACTCACACTATGGTACGGGTTTTCCTGTGGACAATACTTCAAGAGGTTTTGCACGCTCTTGGCATTAACATGGTAACAACATGGTAATAACATGGTAATGACATGGTAATGACATGGTAATAACATGGTAATAAAATTAAATCAATACAAGCGGACCCGCCGCGGCTCCGCCTGTGGCGAGAAGAGTAAAAATTGCAGGAGCTGAGGTGGGGGGATAAAAGGGAAAGAGTGTTGGAAATTGTAATAACCCTGTTCAGCAGTCGACCTGGGGCCCAAACCTTAGCCCCAGGCCACGCAGTCTGTGGAAGACTGCGCCGGGCTGTGTAACCAACACATGCCCCGGCCTGAGTAAACTGCGTACGGCTGTGGGACCGAACGCCAAGACTTAGGAAAATCAAAGGTCAAAGTCAACTGTCAGTCAAAGTACCATGCCAGGTCTTGGATCAGATTCATTCACTTGTTGAGTGCAGGTACCCAGACTACGACCCAGGCCAAAGAASATACAGTTGCAGATCTATCCAGACCCTCCAGGCAGGGAGATCTGGACGGCTGAGGTTGGATACTACCGGGGATCAGACCCTGAGTCAACACTATAAGAGCATTGGCTCCTTGACTTTGGGGATTCTGGCTGTCTTGCGTTGACGCTGTTTTCAGCRCCTGACTCTCGCAGCCTTGGTTTGACGCTGCGAKACTGGAGGAAGGCCGGCATTTGCTGACATGGTGAGTTACCGCTGGCTGGCTTGCTATCTGGCTGGCGACTGTCTCTGATCTGCTGACGTGGCAGTCGCCACGTATTGCTGCTGACGTGGCGTTGCCACGTGTCGTACTGTCGGATCCTTACGACCGGCTATTGATCATCGGCTTCGTTACTTCAAGGAGGGGTCGTGACTATTCGGGATGAGATCAGGACTTGTGAGGTGTTGTGAATA